CGGCCTCAAACTCATGCTCTGATCCCATTTGGCCATGTCAGCAGTCACTGACTTTTGTTTTTTCATTGATTTGAGAGAGAGAGAGAGACATGGATTTGTTCTTCCACTTGTTTCTGTATGCATGCATTGGTTGATTCTTATCTGATCAAATCCGCAAACTTGGTGTATCACGGACGACACTCTAACCAATTGAGTTACCTGGCCAGGGCTAGTCATGTACTTTTTACAGAGGGTTTTTATATCGATTATTCCGCCACTTTAACCCTATTTTAAAGCTCTGTTTTCCAAATAAAGAAACATATTCAATGAAGTTACTTGTCAAGGCCCCGCTGCTAGTGGATGATGTAGCTCTGGTCAAAAGTTCTTTGGACAGATATGGATTCCAACCCATTACTGACTCTGTTGGCTTCAACACATCAGTTATTCATTCTCTCATTCGCTGACTCAGAAACCACTTACTGACTGTGTGAGGCACTGTGTGGTGCTAAGAACACAGAAGTGACTAGAGAATATAGACACTGTTCTCCAGGGAGAAGCAAGGCTCCATTCCTCCATCTGTCAAATGGGAAGCATATGTCTCTAGTTATAAAACAACACCTATATAATTAGAATATATTAGCATATATGTAGATGTAGGAGGATAGTTTACACCAACAAGCTAGGCAAATCTTTGAGACACCCGTTTACTTCCAGATGCCAAAAGGGGAGATTATCTGGGGGGACTGGCACAGCCCTGCCTCTTTCTAGAACATGGAAGTCCAGAGGTGTTTGCTGAGCACTGGCCAGGGCCTTCCCCGAGCTGAGCAATGAAGGGGTTCTCCCACAGGGAGAGACAGAACCGGGAACATGTACCAACTACCCGTGGCTTCCAGGTACATGTCTGACGCTCCGAGAGTGCTCTCACGGGTGATCCATGTTAGGATGTAAATTTGAGTGATTTTAAACTCATGGGCTTTCAAGACAGATAGATCTGGGTTCGAGTCCCGCCCTGTCACTTGCTAGCTAGTGACTCTGGACAAGTTCCTTGCCTGAGCTGCTTTAAGTCCAAACTGTAGGGTGTCCCAAAATTCACGCAAGATTTGAATTTTGCGTGAGCATTAACAACAACAACAACAACAAAAGCCTAATTTTACTTGGTTTATTGAATCATATTCTAATATCTGTTGCCCTTTGATTTCAATCCCTTCAATTTGATAAGCATTACCAAGTACCAATTATGGCCCAGGAGCAGGGACAATGAAGACCACGGCTTTGCGTATGTGCCAGCAAAGCTGTGGAGGCCATTTACCCGATGTGCTATTCCATACATAACCCTATACTGTATACTTTATGAATCAATAAAAAATTTACAATTTTTAATTATAAACCTGTGTTTTCTATCAAAATTACTTCTTGCATGAATTTTGGGACACCCTAGAGGTGTAATGCTAGTACCTCATAGGACTTCTGGGGAAATCAACTGAAATCATGTACTCAAACTCCTTAAAACAGAACCTAGTCCCTAGTAGGAACCCTAAGTAGCCCCTACAGCCAGTTGCTTCTATCACACGTCTTGGGTGTCTCCCCGCCTGAAAGACACATATGTCTTCTAGACCATCCAGAGCAGTCAAGGCTGTATTGGGTGGAGAAGCAGAAGGGGCCCACCCCGGTTCCTACCCTGAGCCCCAGTGCAAATCTCCCTCCGCAGGGCTCAGCTCCAAGGAGTCCAGCTGGGTGCATCTGGCTGGGGAGATTAAATTATTTTTGAATTCCTAACTGAATGTTCTTTTAATGGAAACTTAATGACAGGCATTGAAATAGATTTCCTCCCTAACCCCTCCTCCGGGCGCCCCCCTCCCCAAGGCCCTGTGTGGCCCAGTTCCCGATAACCTTTATTCCCTACCCCTGGACTTTTATCTCCCCAGCGACAAACAGCCCTTGCCGGACAGAAAGAGGAAATTCCAGTCATTGTTCTCAAACTTCTGGCTTCCAAAATAAAATGCTCTATCTCCCCTGTCAAGCTTTGATTGACACACACTTCCTGGAATGGCAGACAGCAACGGCCCAGGGGCGGGGCCAGGGGATTATTTGCATGCTTTGCTGCAGAGGTTTTCAGAACATTTATTCCAAATGGGGAAGATTCCCCCTGCTGGCCACCAAATCTCCTTGTTTGGGACCCAGCTCCTGTATCATGAAAAACCTCTAAGGGCGGAAGGCAACCCTCACCTGCCCACACCATCTTCCTGGGCCTGTTACACACCCACCAGCCACGGAAACACACAGGGATCATCTTACTTCTTAGAGTTGGCAACTGAGAGAGGATCATTTCCTCGCCCTTTCTCTCTGGAGAAAGCAATGGTTAGACCGTCTCCCAAATCTTAACTCTGACTATTGGAGCTAGAGCCAACCTAAGTCCAGGAAGATAAACCAGGATCCCACTCCCCAAGTCTAAATCCCCATAGCAACAGAGATAAATCAGGCAAGTTCAGCGGAATCAGTACCAAGGAAAACTTTGAATAAGGCAATGCATCATGGGATGCAGTTTTATTGTTTTAAGGAATAAGAATTGCTGAATGCCTTGTGAAATGGATAGATCAGTGCATGTGGTCACTGGCTTACCTGTAGCTAGAGTGAAACTCATGCAGTCAGGTCCTGCTGGGAACAATGGTACCACATTGGAATAAAAAGCCTACCATTAGCATCACCAAGTTGGCCTCTGGAACCTTCTGTTCCCCATGTATTTTCTTTACTCACTGAGCTCCTGGGTAACCCTCTCCCTCTGAATGTCCAGGGTTTTTATGCTGCATTGGGGTTCCAGCCACCCCTTAGTACTATCGGCAGTACCGGGGTGGGAAGGGGGTGCTTCCCAAGGGGTTTCTTCGATGTCTGTTAATGGTTGCTAGAGGGTCAATGGGAATTTACATTAAAAAGGAGACCCCACGTGGCAAAATGCCTTCATTCTGATAAAGGAGTATATGAAAGCAGATGAGCTTCCATCAACTAGCCCAGAAATGAATGCCAATCACAGAGCTTCCAGCTGCCATGCAGCATCCCTAGCCATCAAAAGAAACAGATTGTTTGGGTCATCTTACTCCCAGCAGTCCCCGGGCGCTGCTGGTGAGAAGCACAGACCAGAAGGAATGTGTTCTGGTGTGAAGGAATAGTCCATACATTTCTCTCCAGTTTACAAAGGGGCTAGCATCCTAAAGCCTCATACAGGCCAGCAGAGAACTCCAGCTCCCTCAAGCTCAACATTCCTGATCTCCTTTCATTTTATCAGTAGAGTAAACCACTATGCCAACACATAGGCACAGAGCAATCTCCCGTGTGAGCCAGCCGCGTCACTGTTATGGCCACCAACTCACTGTGCAACCATGAATGCAGCAGACTGCCCACTGGTCTTGGTCAGAAGGGTCATGCTGGGTGGCTGGATCTGTACAAATGCAACCCCAGGCCCGGGCAGACAAAGCCGTCCCTACTGACAAGTGCTGGCAGCTGCCACTCTATATGCTAAGACGCACTGGAGGGGTGTGCTGGGTGGCACAGGGAGCACATGCAGGCAGCCAAGCTCATTTCCTCCTGCTTGCCAGCCCCCCAGACCTCCCACTGCTCCCCGAAGAAAGTCCACTCTCAGCAAGAGGGTTTCCATCAGCTGGTCCGTCACATTGATGCACAATGACTGACACTTTTAGAAAGAACGTGCAGTACCAGAGATTTAATATATTAATCATCACACTCAAAACAGTTGATTCCTAAGCAGCTTTGAGTACCATCCTTTCGAGAATACATTCAAAATCACATAGGTGGGGAACTAAGACATTCACAGTAAAACCTTCCTCTAATGATCAATCCTGCCCGGCTGGTGTGGCACAGTGGTTGAGCGTTGACCTATGAACCAGAAGGTCAGGGTTCAATTCCTGGTCAGAGCATATGCCTGGCTTGTCGGCTTGACCCCAGTAGGGGGCATGCAGGAGGCAGACGATCAATGATTCTCTCTCATCATTGATGCTTCTATCTATCTATCTATCTATCTATCTATCTATCTATCTATCTATCTATCTCTCCCTCTCTCTTTTCCTCTCTGAAATCAATAAAAATATACTTAAAAAATTTTTAAAGATTAATCCTTACATTAAGTTGGCCCCTTTCAGGAAGATGTGCTATTGGCCCTTAGAGAAAGGAAGTCCTGGCTCTGTCCTCACTGAGGGGCCACACCTCATTCCCTTTCACACTTTTTCTCCTTGAGAAGCAGCATGTCAATACCAGCCCCAGGCAGAAAAACACAAATACAGTTTTTCTCAGAAGCATTAGCGGTACCTTCCCTTCTAAACTGACTTTTCCCCTTTAAACTCCTCATTGCCTTCTTGGGAGATCAGGAGATAGTCTTTTAACACATTCATAGCCCTTTATCCCACGAATACAAATGGAAAGAAATATCACCAAGCATTCTTTCTTGCAGCAAAGCGTTCATGGAGATTCTGGAGCGACAATCTAGCTTCTGTCTAAATATACCACATGAGGTCGTTTGGGCCAAAACCCAGCTTGGGCAGCAGCGCGTGGATCCACTGTAAAGCAGGTTTGGCTCGGTGCTCCTCTCCACGTTGGGGACGGAGTGACACAGAGTCCATAGACTGAGCCGTCCCTCGTTCCTCCAGACACAGTGTGGCCCAGGCTGAGATGGGAACTCCAATGATCAGGGCTCAAGAGGGTCAGAGCCCCACAGCGGTTCTTTGTGGAACAGTCTTTTCTTATTGTCTTTGATTGGTTCAGTTCCGCCATGTCAGGAGACAATCTTTTCTTTGATAAAAGTCAATGTTAAAATAAAAGTGACTTGCAGATGACATTATAGTGTAGAGAGAGAATCCTAAAGAGTCCACCAAGAAACTAGCCAGTCAGAGAAAGACAAGTACCATAGGATTTCACTTATATGTGGAATTTAATGGACAAAATAAACTAACAAACAAAATAGAAATAGATTCAGATACAGAGAACAAACTGACAGCTATCAGAGAGGAGGGGCATTGGGGTGAAAAAATGAAGGAATTAAGCACACACACACAAAAACAAAAACACAAAAAACTCATAGACACAGATAACAACAGTATGATGATTACCAGAGGGTAATGGGTATAGAGGGAGGTAGAGGAGGGTAAAGGGGAGAAAAATGGTGATGGAAGGAGACCTGACTTGGGGGTGGTGAACACACAATACAATATACAGGTGATTTAGTATAGAATTGTACACCTGAAACCTATATAATTTTATGAACTAATGTTACCCCCAAAATTCAATAAAATTTTTTTTTAAATAAATAAAGTGACTTATTGCTTATCAGTAGAATGAAGACAAGAATATGTTTTGCCCCTGATCCTATATAAAGCTCATAACTTCTTCAAGGAAACTTTAAAAAAGACCACATTTGATCTCATGAGACTTTTGATAATTTTTGTCTGTTTCTATTAACAATGCATGATTTTAAATAATCATATTCAAGTGAGCTCCCATAACTTCTATATTCCAGCTTCCTACAAATACAATGCATGTTCTACTGCACTAGCCTTGTAGAGTCTTGTAGAATCACGGTTATAGAGTTCAGGGGCATTGTGCTGGTGGACTTGGAAGGCTTTTGTCTGTTTCACACTCCCAAATGGTTGATTGCCTCATCATGCCGCTAGTCACTATGAGTGTTCGAAACTTGGCTTTACTTGTGTTGAAAAGCCACTGCTACATTTTAGTGTCATCTGTCTCGTTGACTTCTGACAAAGTGAAGTTGGGGTTGTCATAGCCTCTCTTCATCTTGGCTCTCGCATCTCTCTCATTATAAAGGCACATGGCACAGTGAGGGGTATCCACTTCCACGGTCTTGCTAAAGTTGTGGAAATCCACGCGGTATTTCCCTTCCTTGGTCTTGGACACGATGGGAGCAAAACGGTAGCCCCAGAGCACCTCTTCTGGGACATAGGATGTCCGCACTTGGCAGGTCGCGCTGGTCGACTCCACGGTGCCATCTAAAAACACCACTAACTCGAAGTCCTGCTGGAGAAGCGTCTCTGCCGCCATGTCGAAGAAGGGGCTGTTGTGATCAATGATGTGGTAAATGGTCAGTGGGGAGATGAAGAATAAATTTTCATTCCCGGCATCAACTATGAAGTTGATATTGGTCTGGTCTAAAATAATGGTCTCTCCTTCAGGAGTGACTGTGGTCTTGAGAAGCTTCCCGTAGATGTGACTGCCAATGAGGAGGCTCTTCCGGAGGTTGGCCACGCGGATGAGGAGGCACAGCTTCCCGCCCCGCTTACTGATCACGGCATTCTTGCTGAAGGTAATGGTCTTCGCCCGCTTTTTGGGCCTGGAGATCTTGGCTAAGATGGCGCCACACATGAAGGAATTGATGATGACGCCAAGGATAGACTGGAAGATGAGCAGGAAGATGGCGGTGCCGCACTGTTCGGTCACACACCTGAATCCATAGCCAATAGTCACCTGTGTTTCCAGAGAAAACAGAAAAGCTGAGGTCAGACCATTAATGTTGTCCACGCAAGGGGTGTGGTTGTCCGGTGGATGGAACTCAGGGAGATCTTTGTGAATGTAGGCTACCGCGTACCACAGGAGGCCAAAGAGGAACCAGCTCCCCAGGAAGGCTGTGATGAAGATGGTCATCTTGTACCTCCATTTGAGGTCAAGCACCGTCGTCCAAATGTCCACAAAGAATATAAACCTCGTCTGCGCCTCCACATTGCCAAACTCTATGTTGCACCTTCCATCTTTGGAAACCAGCCTTGTTCTTCGCCGAGGATGCCCCAAGAAGCGAGTGACAAACCATTTCCGAAGATGTTTGAACATTCTTTCTGTCAACATCTTGATCTGAGAGCACATCAAAGAAAAACAAAACAAAACAAAAATTGTATTTAGAGCAGCAATGACGTAGGTGACGCACATAAAGAGCTACCTGTTTATGAAAAGACATTCCAAACAATCTGGATTACTGACCATTTGGCAAGCTGACAGGTTTATTCTGGATGCCACAATGCTATTTTCAATAGAAACTTTCCACCAGAAGGCCATATTGCTTAAATATAAAGGGGAAAACGGATCCGATGAGATAGAATTGGAAGGAATCTAAGAGGGTTCCTGACCTCAATCGCACACAACCTTGAAAATGTTTGTGATCACCATCATGACCTGTACTATGATATTTTTATATTATTCTTTAAATGAGCTCTCCTTTAAAAATATAAAATTAAGTTGGGGGGATGAGAAGAGATAAACCAAAGAAATGATTTACTTATATGCATAGTCCATGGACATGGTATGCGATAGGGTAGTGAAGACCTGAGCGGGGCAGTGAATAAGGGTTGGGAGAAGAGGGATAAAGGAGGGGGGAAATGGAAGATGTCTGTAATACTATAAAATATATATATTAAAAATTAATTTAGCTTTATATTAAGCAAAAATATCTGTGAAAGCAGAAACTTGATGCACTATTTACATTTTTTGTAATATATAAAAATAAGTAACTATGAAAAAAACCGCTCATAAATATACTACCTACGCCATCTCATGTACTGCTAGAGGCATATACATATCAAGAGGAATCCTGATTCGATTCAGTCCTCTCATTCATTAAATGAAGGAACTGAGACTCAGATAATCCCAATGACCCATCCAGGCATGTACCTAACAAAGCGGCAGGAGGACACGGAGAGCATGAGGGTCCCTGCTGGGCAGTCCAGAAGAGCCTCTCCTCACTGCCTCTCAGTTATGAAACTTTCTTTTCTAAAGTTAAATTTCCCTGAGACGTTTTCAGACAAGTATTAATCAACTTCCTTTTTGCTTTAATGGCAGAAGTTTTCTCAGTGCATCTGCAAGCCTGTTTCTACTCTCTCTTTGTAGCATGCCAACATCCCCCCCAAAAGTAGTATGGTGGTCACCAGCAATATCTCACACATCCTTCCCTGCTCCCAAGCTAAAGGACTGGGAGCTCTGACTTAAATTCTAATACTCTGTGAGGTAGGATCATGTTTTACTCACTCTTTCCCAGCTGCTGGCACAGCATATGTCTTAGTTATTTAGTATAAAAACATAAATGAAATAAGTCAGTAAATGAATTAAGCTCTTCAAATGCTATCTGGTCAATGGTTTCTTATCGATGGCATTATTTTGACTTCCATTGTATAGCAAAAGAATGAAGGGATTTCCCCCTAAACAGCCAACAATGATGACACCTGGGGACATAAACACAAGATTACCTCCTCCCTTAGGCGTGCCTACGGCCGCTCCAAGCTCGTTCACCACGGTGAGCCATGTCTTCGTGATATTTTGAATTAAATGCAAATATGTTTCTAAAATAGATTTCAAAACCCCCTTCAAAAATGCGTTTAGTCATACAAACTAGGAAGCGAAACCAACTTAGTGATAAATTTTAAACAAAACTGATATTCCACAGTTTCTTGCTCACGGTCTTAGACCAGGTGAAAACACAAGACGCCAACAACCAAGTAGAGGTGGGGAAGAGAAAACCACAGCTGTGGTGATTTGAAATTTTGAGGACAGGTTCTAAAGATATTTTTTTTAAAAAATGCTACCAGGAGAGCAAACAGCAGTGCCTGCTCTCATCCCGCCCAGCCCTCACTGACCTCAAGTCCCCAAGAATATTAGCTGATGGTCCCAAATTCAACTCATGGTGGAAGACGTAGTGTTTCCCACTCTCTCCCCTTTCTCTGCACACACAATCTTTAACCTTGCTTACATTCACTGGGACTTTCTCCCTTTCTCAGGTTCACGGACACGCATAGTGTGTCAAAAGCTCTTCATAGAGCGGCCCTCACACAAGATACTAAATTCTAAAGCCAACATATATCAATTGAATCCACATTCTCTTTGTCATACATTATCATTCCAGAGATGGCTCCTAACACACCAACTTCTGGGTCCCCCCCGCCCCAAGACCCTTTTCCAGTCTCTCTTAAATCTGTGGTCTTAGAGCAGGTGGAAACACAAGAAGCCAACACCACGTAGAAGTGGTGAAGAGACAACCACAGCTGTGGCGATTTGAAATTTTGAGGACAGGCTCATTTCACTTTGAGTGATAAAGAATATTTCTGTAGCGTGAATAAGTACCCCCTGACTTTTCTCTGGATAAGTTTGGGTTTCCATGCCTCTATTGCTAATAAAATATCATCCACCTGGCCTTGCAAAGAGTTGAGACAATAGCAACCGGCTTGCGATGCTTTTCCCAGACGGTTCTCACTTACCTTCATCCTAAACGTATTCTGACCTGAAGCATCCATGGCTGGGCAAGGCAAGGGAGCGGTGTTGGGAGCTGGCCTCTGGATGCAGGCTGATTTGTTTTAGACCCAGCTTAATACAGTTTAGTCTTTGGTCAGTGGGCTGATGCTAATTTGTACTAGCTTGAAAACACTTCATTGGATAGTGGACTTGTGTGGTATAACCAAGGCAATTGTTTGTTCTCAGACCAAGCCCCAGCCCGGGTATGTATTTTATCTTTAGAAACCTCGCATGGCTTGAATACCGTCATGCTAAGACATGACAAACCGCCGGCTGAGGTCCCTGGGCAGCAGGCATGCTGTGTTTCGACATTTCTCTCCTCTCCTTGCCACGCTCGGTGGCTTACCGGCTGTGTCGCCCAGGCCGTGCCCAAGAACTTTCACCAGAAACAATGAGTTATCTTCAATCTCCCAGACTCTGCTCTGGACACCCTGAGATGGTGAGACGTCCAGGTGTTCACAAAGACACAGGTGAAAACATAGACACAGGTAAGTACATATTTGTAAGATCACACCAGGAAGCAACAAGGTACCATGTTAATCTCTCTGTACAACCGTCCCTGTTACGTAAGAAAGTGAGATTTATAAGCAGCCTTTATTGTTGGATTTTTTAAAAGTAAAATCTGGCCTTTATGAAAGGTACTTTTCACATAGACTGTTGATTTATTTTTTCAGAGAGTGAGAAGAATTATCCCTAGAGAAAGCAAGACTACAGGATGAATTCATCCTCTGACCAAAGCCATCATTCACACGGCAGACCCCCCAATGCACACAGCACACAGCCAACTGTGCTTAGACAGTGGCATTTAATCCAACCACAGACAAAGCCAATATGTATTTTTTTAAACTATTGGTTGATTCGAGATTGGCCCTGGTGTCTGGGTTATGTAACACCCACAGTTTTTAGGTTACTTTCTATTGAAATCAGTAAATCTTAATAGCAAGCAAAGGGCTGTATATTAGCTAATATTTACCAAGGTATTCGGAGTGGCCTGGCAAAGCAAGTGAATGATTTAAGATTTCAGCATTAGCGTTCTGTAAACAGTCCACTCTCAGAAAATAAACTTTTTGTAAGCTTTTCAAATATTGGGTGTATGCTCCTCATGTAGGATTTCAAAGACAAATAGAACTTTTTTCCTCTTCTCAAGGGGCTCACAGTTGAATGGAGACATGAGCTACGTAAATCGGCCGTTGCAACATGGTTGGTTTGTATAATGCCCAAAGGAACATCTTTCCTCAAAGACCTCTGTCAGATGGGTATCTATCCCCTGTGGAAACACATCAACTGAAAAAACACTCATTACCTTTATGTGTACATTCATGTATTTGTCTACTATTAGCCAGCACTGATATTTGATACTGGAATGTGTACCAGGTACCATGCGAGACACCAGGGAATCATCCTGTGGAAGTTTCCAGTCCAGTGTGGGGGTAGGAGATGCAAATGAACTGGAAAAAAACAGTCTTTGTAATACCAACCAGGATAGAAAAAAGTGGGAGTGATTTGGGGGGGCACCTCATCGGAGGGTGCTAAGGCCTGAAGATGGAGTTAGAGGCCATTTAGTAGGAACTCCATACATGTGTGTTGACTGAAGATAAAGCAATTGATCAATGTATGCATAAATGCAATGAGTTTGCTGTCACTTACGTGGCTTCCCACTGAGATATTTTAGGAGAGACATTCCTGTGCCTTCTTAATCAATATAACTGCGCAAACACTCTACTTATTGAACATCTACCATGTGCCTGGTGCTAGACTAGGAAACCAAGATGGTAACAGTGCCTGCTCTCGAGTTACTCCAGGTTAAGTACGTCAATAACGCAGCGCAGCAGGTTTGCTGCCCTGAAAGGGTTGAGAACAGAGTTTTAAAAGCAGCCACCAAAGAGGAGACCCAACAGGCCAGGTGCCAAGCTGATATTCTTCAACATACCTTTGCCAGGAGCGCAAACGGGTGCCCCTGACTAGGAGGACTTCCTGTTTTCCATGAAAACGGTCTCACGCTGCTGGGGGATGGCCACCCAGCTGGATTTGCAAACCCTCAGAGCCCCGAGGAGCCTCAGTCACCTAATCCCCCCCCCCCCCCGAGTTATCTTTTAATATCTGGAACCTATGGTTGGCAGAAGGCGTCATGTCCCCTTTGCTCAGTAATTCCGAGAGAAGTTATTTCTGATGCCTTTTGCACTATCAGGCAGCTCACGTGGGGTCAGCCTGGGTTCTTAAATAGAACTTGGCAAAGCCAGTGGAAACAATTTCTCCTGGCCTTAGGGGCCTGTAAAGGGGCATCTGAACCTCAGGACTCTGCCAGCCTAGATTGGGGAATGAATTTAGGAATAGCCCACCCTTGGCTTGAGGGTCTGCTCATGCCCTCTCCACCATAGAGCCCCAAGTCTGCTGTGTCCAGGGTGGGAATGCCACACAGGCCTTCCTGGGCACCTGGCTCCATCCAGAGAAGCGAGCTTGGGAACAAGAGCCAGGGAATCGTAAGGTCTATGGTGTTGGTGCTCTCAAGGCTCTCTCCTAAGCTTCAGGAGTTCTACATCAGACTGAGCCAAAGTTAGGATAAGAGAAGGCAAAAG